TGTCTCCTTGTGCTGTCACTGTTTATGGGGATACCTCCTCCAGTCACCTGAGTCCTGCAAGCATTGTGAGTGGCTGAATCCAAGCAACCTTTGGTTCTGGGCCTTTAGAGAGCCTGATGCACGAAGAACAGCCATTTGTTCCTTTTTCTCTTCCTTAGGAGTTACCCTTCCTGGAAGGTTAAGCAGAAAAAAACTACAAGATCCTCATTTCCAAATGATATGACAGCAGAATGGGAAATGCCATTGCATGCTCCCTCTTTTCAGGTATGAATGGAAGCAGCTTTGAGAGTGGACCCTGCCTCCCTCTGCTCACCCTTTCTTCCAAGATCAGACTCAGTTCTTGTCTTTTCGAACCACAGGGAAACAGTCTGGCAAGAGCCACCGTTGTACCAACTGATTTAAATTGAAATGTTTTCCCCAGATAAATGCGTACTAAATAATACACCAGCTCTCCAGCCAAAGGGAAGTGACAGGCACTCTGTAAATAAAGGCACTTAGTTGCTGGTAAAGAGCTGTAAAGTGGTTCTGAGCTGATGTTTGCTGACCAGCAAGAAGCAGCTTCATCTGCTTTATGTAATTGTCACTGCAGTTTTGCCTGCTGTATATTAAAACTGCATCTCATAGACCCGACTGTCACATCGGATATACCATCCAGCTTGGGGTATGCCACCTTCTTCTGTAATTGTTTTTGACAACAACCCATCACATCTTGGATCTTTTCAGAAAGTGCCTGGTCCAGAATCCCTAGGCTGGGTCAGTTCTGACACCATGTGGGCTAGAAAAGTGACATCAAAAGGGAATGTGAAAAGATAACAGAAGAGAAAAGAGAGGCTTTGTTAAGTCTAGGAGCCCTGGTAACATGCAGTGGCAGCTGTCCAAGGAAGGCTCTACTTTCTCAATGTGAGGGCACATTTTTCATGTTAAATTACATCATGTTAGGAAATCTTTCCATAAAGTTGCATGCATATTCTGACTCAAGAGCATGACATTTGTCCTGAGTCCACATTTCTACCCAGCTAGGTTCTAGAGACATGGAAACATAGTTATCCAAACAAAGCGTAGCATGGGGTTCCATAAAGGACCACAGAATACATAAGAATGAAAGCAAGGGTGTCAGTGGCCAAAAGTCTATGCATTTATCACTCAGAGGAAGTTAGATTTGTTTCCCAAAATGGTAAGCGTAACATGAAATTCCCAGCACATTGGGAGGCCAAGGCGAGTGGATCACCTGAGGTCAGGAGTTTGAGACCAGCCTGGCCAACAGAGTGAAAGCTTGTCTCCACTAAAAATACAAAAATTAGCTAGCGTGGTGGTGCACACCTGTAATCCCAGCTACTCGGGAGGCTGAGGCAGGACAATCACTTGAACCTGAGAGGTGGAGGTTGCAGTGATCTGAGATCATGCCATCGCATTCCAGCCTGGGCAACAGAGTGAGACTCCATAAAAAAAAAAAAAAAAAAAAAAAAAAAAAAAGAAAGAAAGAAAGAAGAGTAACATGAAATCTTTTTGTTCCTCTTAATTCCTATCCCCTTGGAGCTTCATCATGCCAAATACCCTGATGAAGAATGACAAACGTATCTCAGGCCAGTAGGCACTCCAGTTAGTCAAAAGGGTCGCAGTTACAGAGAGGCAGGGAAACTCAGCTCACAGACTCAGTTCACAGGCTGGGAGGAGCCCAAGGAGCAAGGTGCTGGAACTGTAGCCAGAGAAGTGAGCACTGGGGAAGGAGTGACTTCTCTGTGTTGATGGCTTCCAGTGGACCACTGCCTTTGCAAGGCTAATGTGTCACCAGAGAACAGTATCCAAAAATGAGAGGAGCAGACAGACAAGAAACCAATGGAACATAAGGGCTTGGTGGGCCTAGAGCTTTGACACACTTTCCTAGGGAGCAGAACAGACTGCTGGCTAGTGAGAGACAGATGCTCTCTTCCACTGCTGACCAGGGGTCTATGAGAATCACTGCTAAGCATAGAAACACATCCTCTGCCTTCTTCTGTTATGTGTGCAGTCTTAGTCCATTTGGGCCACTGTAATGAACACCATAAACTGGGTGACTGATAGACAACGGAAATTTATTTCCCACAATGCTGGAGGATGGAAAGTCTAAGATCAAAGCCCTGGAACATTCAGTCTGTGGTGAGGACTTTCTCACAGTGTCCTCACATGACTAAAGGGGTGAGGGGTCTTTCTCAGGTATCTTTTATTTTATTTATTTATTTTTTTAGATGGAGTCTTGCTCTGTTGCCCAGGCTGGAGTGCAGTGGCGTGAGCTCAACTCACTGCAACCTTTGCCTCCTGGGTTCAAGTGATTCTCCTGCGTCAGCCTTCTGAGTAGCTGGGATTACAGGTGCCTGCCACCACACCCAGCTAATTTTTTTGTATTTTTAGTAGAGATGGGGTTTTGCCACGTTGGCCAAGTGGTCTCAAACTCCTGACCTCAGGTGATCCACCTGCCTTGGCCTCCCAAGGCATGAGCCACCATGCCCGGCCTCAGGCTTCTTTTATAAGACACCAGTCCCATTCATGAGGGCTCCACCCTCACCACCTAAACACCTCCCAAAGGCCCCACCACCTAATACCGTCACTTTAAGGATTAGGATTTCAGTGTATGCATTTGGCAGGGAATGGGTAGAGGGGACAAAAACATTCAGACCATAGCTGTGTGCATGTGTGTGTACAAAAGAAAGAGTGCCTTTTGTTTTTTAATTTAGAGGAGAAATGAGCTCTCTTTCTTTTTCCTCCATATCTCCTGCCAAAACCTATTTTTCTTGCTTACCTTTTGCTAAAAAAAAATAAAGAAGGCTTTGAGCAGTGGGGAGTGAAAGAATTGTTACCAGTTTGGCCTTTACATGGGATCAAAGAGGTTGGGATAAGGTTTAAGAGAGCTGGAAGGAACACCTACATCAGATGCATGTGTAACTAAATTACCCACTGAGATTCTAATCTATGGCCCTGGAAAATCGTGATGATTGAGTTAGGAGGAAATAGGCATGTTGGGGAAAAGGAGTGTTTTCCTGCCTCCTCCTGCTGGCTTCTGTCACTACTTAAAGGGAGAATCACTGCTTCTACTTTTTTCCATTCCCCTTGATGGTTCACTGCTCCCCAGGAAAGGAGCATCTAACAAGGGTTAGTCACATCCTGTTCATGTGAAGGTTTACTATGCTTTAAAGGGGTACATTTGAGTTGCCTGGGGATCTTGTTGGAATGCAGATTCTGATCTAGCAGATCTGGGGTGAGCCATGAGATTCTACAGTTTTCACAGGCTTCCCCAATAGATACCTGTACTGGCACAGGGCAGAGAGAACACATATTGAGGGTCAAGGGCTTAAAGGCAGGAACCAAATGCCAGCTTGCCTCTTTTTCCTCCTAGAAGGTCAGCTTACTGTCTTCTCATTTCCTTTCTCACCTGTGCTGCCTGGGCAGGAGGGGGGCTCTGCCTTTGCAGGATGCAGCTGGGAGTAAGAGTGCAGGGCCTCTCTTAGGCCTTGACATGTTGTTCTGTCCTGTGGGCACAGCTGAGCAGGTGGATACCAAGATCGAGATTTGGGTGTGGTAGGGAGGATGGTAGTGTGGAGAGGTCAAAATTAGGCTTCAGGCTGTATTGGGGTGATGTCAGAAGGACAGAAACCACTTCACATCCAACACAAAAGTAGAAGATTCCCTTAAGCTTGACCAGAAGGTGCTGTGAAACTCAAGACTCCCAGAGACGCCCCAACCCCTCTCTCAGTTCCCAGCAGTGAAGATACTTGCTCTCAGAAAGCCCCTCTGAGAGATGATTTGAACCTGGGTGTGCTAAGGTCTGGCTCCAGCTGCCTCCAAAGAATCAAAGTCTCTCTTTCTCCTCCACTTTCCAAATCTCATCCCAATGCCCCTCTCCCACCAGCTGACTCTAGCCGAGAGCCATGCAGGGAAGAGGATTCTAGGAATGATTGCTCCTGGATTTTCTGCAATGCTAAGCAAATGGTAGAAGGTGGTGGTGGTGATGTCAAGTTGACAAAAGATAATGTAGCTCACTGATCTAGGATGCGTGATCCAGCTGAGCTTCTAGAAAGCCTGGCATGACGTAGAGGAGGTCAGACACTTGCCCAGCTATCAATAAGGTGGTGCTTCATATGTCAGTAGCCATAGCGCTCAAGGACTGTGCTCCTACAGCCTTCCATCCTGGACTGATGGGATTCAGGTCCTCATCAGGCAGCCCATGCCACCCGCTGGTAGCCCTTATGTAACAACGATCCTCCAGTTTATGGCAAGACTACATGGAGGTGTCACTCAAAGGAAAATGCTCTGCATCCTATCCTGCCAGATGCTGATTACGGAGGTCGTTTGTTATGAAGGTTTTGCTGCGTTTCCTTTCTGAGACTCCTAGACATCTTTACTTGTAACCCCCCTGCCCAGGATCCCAAAACAAATGACAGGAAAGACTGGGGCCAGAGTAGGAAGGCAGACTTGTGTCACTTAAGGTTGCTTTGCCTCCTATAGGAAAATGTGTGGTCTGACAAGTGTCACCTCTTGCTAAATGACTTTTAGTGTCCATAGAGTTGCCACTCTCTGGAGAGCACCATTCTTTGGTCAGCAGAGTCCTAGAGGCAGCTCTAACAATGGCAAAGTTTAACACTCCCATCCCAGCTCAATGGCAAAAATACATACTGGAAGGAAACAGTCAGAATTGTGCAGCCAGCATATTTTCAGTGCTCTGACATTCAGCTGACACTGCTCATGAAGACACTCTTTGGGAAAGCGGAGGGGGTGGCCATTTAAAGCCTTGTTTATCCTCTGGAAAGGCAACCTAGTCTGTGTGGGGGTGACCAGGTCTCAAGCCTGCACCCCAGAATGGAAAGAAGAGGCAGCAGATGCCCCTTTGAAAGCCATCCCGGCGACCGCAGGTTTCACTGCCAGGCAGGCTGATGTGAGCCTCTTTGAATTACTGAGTGAAGGATATCCCTCTTGCTAGCCGCTGTCCCCCACAGGCACAGCAAAGAAGTATTACAGGCTGTCCTTACCTTGGGAATTAGCCTGCAAGACCCCGATGCTGTCATCAAACTGCATAGATTTGATGTTGAGTGACGCCAAGATGCATTCCTTGTCCTGCAGCGAAGTATCATCAATATTATTCTGATTGGCTGACAGGATAACGCACATGTCACAGAGGTTGATGTTGACAGCCCTTAAATCAGCCCGACTTAATGGCGTACCCTTTGGCATAGAGGAAAGAAAAAAAAAAAAACAGAGAGAGAGAAAGGAACAAAAGTGAGAGGAGAGGGAAAGAGGAAAAAAATAAAAACAAATTAAAGATTGAGTCGGAGCTTTGGGAAATTATTTAACAAGTATCTTTTTTATGCCTTGACATTAAGCTGGCCTAACTACATTCAAGGGAATAGGAGCTGTGTGCTAATCTAAAGGGTAGTTGGTGCTGATGGCAGCATTTTAAGCTTGCTCTCAATACTCAATCAAGCTATTACTAACAAACGCGGGAGAGGAATTATACCAGGGTTCTACATCTTCTTCCTGCCTGGAAATTGTCTTGATTTAAGTAACTGTCCTGTGGCAACCTCTGGCTTTCAGAATGTAATGAGGGAGTGGGTTTCAAGTGCCTGTTTATTTAATAGCAGGTCACTTCTGTCTCAGGCAAAAGACAGCAGTTCCAATGCAGCCAAGAGGAAATGGCCAGTGAGCATGGAGTGATGAGGTAGGCCTGGACGTGCGGCTCAATTTGGAAGCTATGGATGGAGTGGAATTAATGTGTGCAATGCAAAAGGGATATGGAAAGCAGTTAAGCTCCAGGTCATATGATTTTATTACATATTTCTGCAAGAAAAAAATACACAAGGTAGTGGCCTGATTGTCCAACAACATAGGAATGGTGAAATATACTTTTGGACATTCACACAGTGAAAATGTATGCAGGAGGCAAAGAGGAAGAGCTAGCTCTCCATGCAGGCATCAGCTTAGAGGGCTCTCTAAGATAGAGGGGAAGGGGGAAAAAAAGTTCTAGGGCAATTAAAAATGTATATTTTCATTTACGTTAAAAAAAACCTGATAAAATAAAACTACATATATATAAATGTAAGTAAGTTTAGAAAGAAAGCACAGGAAAAATATCCATTACACTAATAATGGTAATTCCCTCTGGGAAGGGAAATAGGATTGCTGGGGGTGAGGGGAAAGTTTGCTTTTGACTTTATATACTTCTATATTGTTTGAATATTTTATAACAAGAATGTATTTGTATATTATGGGTGCATTTAAAAATAAATAAGCCAGTAAACAGATTTTTAACATAAAAAATAACAAAAGATGGTGGAAAAATCCCAGATCCAGGAGGTAACAACAGAGTCCAGGAATGCAAGCACAGGTAAAATGGAAGGGTTAGAATTGAAGGGCAGGACCATGACCTCCACATGCTCTGTCTTCAGTTGGAGCCACAACAAAATATTCAGGCCACCCCATGTCATAGCTCCCCAGTGGCCATGCAGCATCATTTTGGGGCTCCCATCTGGCCACTAGCTTCACTGGTCCTCTAGCTAGACTCTAGCTTCCTCTTGGCCTGCATGGCGACCTGAGTTACGTTCAACTCTCTGATTGTATAGAGCGAGGGTTTACCAACTTCCACATATCCGTGAACATCTTCCTCTCATCTGCCTTTCTGGAGAAGTGGCTTCAAGAAGAAGGAACTTGGCTGCAGAGATGAAGCCTATCTACCCTCTTTTATGATTCAGTGGTAGTCATGATTCTCAGCCCCTAAAATACTGCTGCAAAGTGCAACTATGGAGGAAGGGGCATTTAGCACTGTAAGTGCTGCTGAGACATGACTAGTTCCAAGCCCTGAAGCAGTGTCTCTTGAAAGAAGTAGAATGCCCTCTTCTCCTGTGACCTCTTGGTACAAAACAGCTCCGATCAACTTCCTGAGTCATTTTGCCAGTGCATAATCTTCAATTGCCTGCATCCATATTCTTTTAATTTTCACGTTGTAGAGAAGCCAGCTGTAATTGTGATATAAGATGATCCCTGTGCAGGTGTACACATATGATTTCAAACCACAAGAAACACAAATGACATACATAGAAATTGCTTATGTTTCCATGGGCTGGCCCTAGAGGCAGGGTACTGCTTAAACAATAAACTCTGAAGACATAGATGAAGGCCCATTTTGTGAAAATCTATTGTGCTTCAGTAGGTTACATTTTGGAGGGTTTGAAAAGGACTTGCAAATATGAGAGCTCATTCATATACATGAAGACAGACAAGTGAATGTATACAAGGGCACACAGAAGGAAACACAAACATACACAACACACACGCACAAATACCAAACGCACACAAATACCCAACTCTACACACACATACACACGCAGACTCATGTATCCTAGCAAAATAATAAACTCTTTACCAAGACATTTTTAGAGGTCAGGGGACTATGTGGAAGAACACATGTAGAAAGATAACTATGGAATCATGTGATTAAATCAACTGTATTTCTGGAATTAGCAAAGTATTTATATGCTTATGCTCTCCTTTATGTATGACTGTTGGTCTATAGGTGACTATTTTCAATCACCTGTGTTCACTAAGTCAGTGGGTTTTTGGCCCAGCATCCAAAATATAACTGTCTCATATTTTTCTCACTCCTTTAAATATTTATTGAGCCCAATTTTGCCAGGCATTATGTAAAGACACATGGTGGCAACTGATGAGTAATGAGTACTACTTGTGGATAGATTCCTGTGTGTTCTTTAATGAATTATATTACTTGGCTCTTTTTTTCCACATTTCTGAGGTTTTGGAAATTGTTGATAGAAATAACAGATTTTAGCTCTGTAAGTGGGGAAAAAAAACAGACCTCTTGACATACAAAGAAATCCATGTTCCTCTGTTTTTGTTTTTGTTTTTGCTTTTGTTTGAGACAGGGTCTTGTTCTGTTGCCCAGGCTAGAGTGCAGTGATGCTTACATAGCTCACTGCAGCCTCGACCTCCCAGCCTCTCAAGTAGCTGGAACTACAGGCATGCACCACCACATCTGACTAATTTTTTAAACCTTTTGTAGACAAGAGGTCTCACCATGTTGCCCAGGCTGCTCTCAAACTCCTGAGCTCAAGCGGTCCTCCTGCCTTGGCCTCCCAAAGTGCAGGGATTACAGGGATTAGCTACCGTACCCGGCCCCTGTTTCTGTTTTAGAGACATGAACTTACGAGAAAAATGGTGGAGGATAAATGTTTGCATGAATTTGTGATGTGGATAACTATATCAAATGTTGAAATGCATAATTCTTTACAATTTTTGGTAAGTTTGTGGACTATGCATTGATTATGGTTATGAAGTAGCTAATTGCGTGACTCCTAAATCCCATATCCTCACACTAAATTGTGGAGTCCCAGATTGTTTTTTCAGACTGGAGTCCTAATGGTTTGCAGTCAAGAATATCATGTGCACACACACACACAAATACAATCGTGAACACATTTCTGTATTTCTAAATTAATAGGGTAGGGCTGAGCTACAGAAGGAGTTGGCCTTCTGTACAGCAGAAATAAAGAGCTCTGTTATTTGCATTTATTTAGTTAAAAACAGAAGGTGGCACAGATCAGGTTTCTCCAAGCATTAAAAATGCCATAAGTATAATGCTATAGTTTTATAAGCAAATAAACATCACAATATAACAATGCTCTAGGTTTTGTATAGGCAGGAGCGAGAGAGTGTTTAGACACGGATGTGGTTAGTATACTTGATAACAAGCTAAACTTCATCCCTGATGAGGGACTGAGCTTGGCTGCAAATTCCTTTTAATAAGGTCTCCCAGGGTTTGGATTTTCCTTGACAGAGCATAGGGGAAGTACTGAGTCCTCAGGCCCATATCCAGATGAAGAAGCACAGGCATGATCAAAGCTACAACTATTACATCCATCTGGGATTTTCTTTTGTGAATGAAAAGAAGAAAAGGCATCAATAATGTGACCTTGGACTTACAGGCAATATGGACACTTTGGGGAAGTTATGAAGCGTCTCCCATTCCCGCTTGAGGTACTCAATAGAGCCCACAAACACAATGTGCTTGAGCTCGTGGTAATGAAAGTTGCTGGCACGGAGTGGCATCACCAGGTTCCGGAGGCCGATCAGGGCTGAGCTGACATCACCAAAGATACAGACCACGACATGGCCACTCAGGACAGTCATGGCGGCCTCACTTCGAGTCTGCAACAGGGAGATGTGTGTAAGTATCAGAGAGAAGGCTGCATAGGGCTGTTGTGAGGAGTGAAAAAATCATTTGTGCAAAGAATCAAGTAAACATTTGCTGAGAGCTTACTATGTGCTATTATTTTTATTTCATCAATGTTATATACATGTCATACAGAGCTATAATTTGAGCATGTTGTATATGTATTATATTTATGTAATAAATCTATCTAAATGTATATCCACACACATTGTTACTTTCTTTAGCAAAAAATTTTAAAAAGATATGCCATAAATATGTGTGAGCAGATCTTCATAATCATTTTCAGGAGGTAAAATAAGAGAGAAAAGGAATATTTATGCTATTTGGAAAGAGAAGTCTTAGTTTCCATGAAACTGTTGATTAAATGAATTGCCTTTTCTGGCTCGCTTGCTGAGGTGATGATAAAATGGTCAGATCCCTACAATGAGCTCAGTTTGAGAAATTCGAGTTTGGAATTCCAGATTTATCAGTGAGATGTCAGTGCATCACTGCATCAGCAGGTGGAACATGCTACCTCAAGCCAGGGGTGGAAAACTATGACCCACAGGCCAAATCTGGCCCATTATGTTCTTTTGTATGTCTGTGAGCTAAAAATGGTTTCTGTGCTTCAAAATGGTTGGAAAAAAATCAAAAGAAGACTATGTCATAATCTGTGAAAATTAAAGTTCAAATTCCCATAAAGTTGTTTTGGAACGCAGCCATGCTTATACATTTAGGTATTGCCTATGGCTGCTTTTATGCTACAACAGCAGAGCTGATCAGTAGCAACAGAGACCTTATACCCTGAAAAATCTAAATTATTCATTATATGACTTATTACAGAAAAATTTGCTAACCCCTGTTCAATGCTGTCTTGGAGTTTCCAAGGACATTTCTGGAGGGGCCTGCTTTGCTTAAGTTATTCAGAGAAAAGATCTTCCCAAATAATCATTACAAGGGGCAAGAGAGAGGTCAATAAGAGCAACAGGCCGGTGTCTTCCTCCAACTCCAAACCTCTATCTACAAAGGAGACCAATGAAAGGAGAGGAGAACCCCAACTTCCTAGGAAATACAAACGCTTAATCACTGCTGGTCCTTTGATTCACAAAGCTAGTGAAGACAGGAGGCCAGCTGTGGACCTTTCTCTGCCTCTCCTTCTGGACTGATGATGCCTCCCATCCCTGTCTACCCACTTCATGCTTGGATGCCTCCATGTGGCTTACAATGCTTTCGGGAAGGCATATTAATGTCCACTGTACATATCAAACTCTGCTTGATTTAATCTCTAGAATTGATCACTGCATTGATTGTATAAATGCCAATATAGCAATTTACGACAATGTCAGGGTTATTACAATAACCCCCAAGGAGAGGAGGAAGCTAGCTTTCACTACTCGATAGTTAGAATAAAGCAGGGGCTGTCACCATTATTGGTTTCCCTCTGCAACAGTCCAAGGAAACCAGAGATACAAGCTGTAAGAAATGCCTTATAAACTGTGACCAAGGAAGACCCACTGGGGAGCTCACATCACATATTCCCACTTCCTGCAGAAGACCTGGAGTTAGTTATCTGGGTCACATGAAAATGCAAGCGCCTGGGTGCCACCAGCGGACACCCAACCAATCTATAACGCACTGTTATGTGATGGGTCTCCTAATTATTTTTAATTGGCCAAGTCACCTGGGAGCCTAGCTCCCTTCAACAAACTGGAGGAATACAAACTGGGCCAGGGTGGAAATGAATTCTAGAATTGAGAGGTGGGGAAGGTACAGATAGCAGAGAGGCTGAGGCACAGATGCTGACCCCAGGAACTTCGATCTGCGCTCAAAACACCCATCTTCAGATTGGCCACAGCCACATCACCTGGATAATCTTATAAAAGTCCTAATTCTAGAGCCTCACCTCTTGTATGTCTGATTCTGCTGGGTTTAAGACACACTGGAGAAACTGATCATTTGCTTCTCTATGTATCTTGAATTCCTATGCATCCTTCCAGGCCCAACCCAAGCACAACCTGTGTTTATCTGATGGGCGTTGTCTGGCCATTTACACATATACTAGTCCTTCTCCCCTACATTTCAATAGCACTTTGTGCCTCTTACCACTTAGCTTTAAATACTCTGTTTCATGGTTACATTTTATTCACAATTGAGACTATCTCATATCTTTGAATCCCCAAAGTAGTTAGTTTCCTGTGTCCAGTGGATACATACCCTCAAAGCATCCTCATGTAGCTGGCCTTACCTATCATTCTCATCTCTAGCCCAGTGTTACTTTAGAGAGGGCTTCTTGGATCAAACGTTCCAAACAGTACCTCCCAGTCTCTTTCTAACCTATGAGGCTGCTTTATTTTTTTTCGAAGCATCCTATAAATATCTGAAATGTTATTACATATTCATTTGTCTACCTGGAGATAACTCCTCTTCCCTCCAGCCCCATCCCACTTGAATACAAGCTCTATGAGAGCGTCGTTGTCAAGGATTACATCTCCAGCAGCTAGAACAGTGTGTGGCACATAGTAGGCCTCTTGTAGATTTTTTTGTTAAACGATGTTATTTTTCACAGGATAGAAGTAGTAACTCACCTTCCTTAACTTTTTTGTGCTGGCAGGAGATGTTCATTGGATATCAGTTGGCATGCATACTTCAGCAATATCTAGGCAAGTCATTAAAACCCTAGGTCCCAGATAGGGCATCCAGCCTATGATGTGTCACAAGTGGTCACATCAGGCAAAGTTTAGACCACCAGAGCAGAAGTGCCATGAATACATCAGAATGTACATACATGAAGCAGCTTTGTGGGTAGAACCATTTGTACTCCTGGTCCGTTGGACAATGGCTGTTTACTGAGAATTCTGACTTTCTGTGTTCTTGCCTGCAACTTTCCCACCTCTGAGACAGCCTCCAGCTTGATACTTTATTGACTCTTAATGCTCGTTTATAATTAAATTGAGACCTCCCTCCTAACACACACAGATAAAGCATAGGAAAAAGTCCAGTATGTTAGAGTACAAAGCCATTCTGAGGATCCAGAACCATCCTTGTTTGGGAAGGGTGGTCCTGATATCAGAAATGATAGGATTTTCCTGGCTGACAGAAAGAAACAGACCCAAACCAATCTGGGGATTAGAGGCCCATGGGAGAAAGAACCCTTCCATCTGACTTTCCTGATTATTAATCCATTTTTCATGGATTAGCAAGACAATAAACTGTAGGAAAGCCAATGTAGGCATTAAGACCCAAAGCTGCTAACAGAACAAGGGCAGAGAGTAGAATGGATTGCTATCTACACTGACATTCCTGGGACAGACTGAGAAAGCCCACTGCTGCTATGAAGATATTCACAAGCCATCCACAAAATAGGGCTCTGAGCCCTAGTCTCCCCAAGGGGGCTGTAGTTCATTATTGTCATCATTACATCATGCATCATCATGCATTTGCCTGCCTATGACATGCGCTAAGAAGAGTCACAGATACTCAAGGCTATTATCTATAAGAATATAAAACGCTGCAATAAACCAGTAACAATGCAGGCAACATTCAGCTTTCCTCACAGTATTTAGTAAGAAGAATAAGAATAATAAGAGGTAACTTGATTGGGTCATATGTTGGGTTTTAATCTTCACTACAGCCCCATGAATTAGGGTCATCCTCATCTCATCTTTTTACAGATAAGAAAACTGAAGTGCAAAAAGTCAAGTGAATTACCCAAGCCATGCAGCTAATAAATGGTATGAGCAGGCCCTGACACCAATACCAGGGCCACAGGAATTACGTTCATACCACCTCCCACCATGCCTTTTTCCCACAGCACATGATCACCCACTCTTACGAGGAGCCAATATATTCAGAGATTGAAAATCCTGAATATTGTTCATGTTCTGATCAGAGTTGTAGCTGGTTCAATCTATGCTCAGGATTTCAACTATCAAAAATAATTAGGACAAAGCACTGTATCATCCCACTGTCCCATTAGAGAAACCCCATTCCTAGCAAATGTGGTTCGGGGCAGAAGCAGACGACATCAGATCCCCAGTCCCTTCTCACCAGGATGACTTTCTCTATATCCTTGGGCGCACACCAATGAAACATCCCAGTAGAGTCGTACTTCTTCACATTGGAGTCCATGTTGTCAATCTGATCATTGCCAGGAATTAACAAGGGGTCATGCCTGGGGAGAAAAGGACAGGAAAACCTAAGTGGAAAATGTGATAAATTATAAATGGAAAGTGCCCCCTGAATTACATCTCAGAGGAGATGAAAGAGGCAGAGGAAGTGGTTGTCAGTAAAGGCCATTCTTCTGCTTACAGAATCCATCCTTTGAGAGACAGCTACCCCAAACCACCACCCCTCCCCCATTTGGAAGTGCAGCTGACCTTTGTCAGGGAGCATTTCTGCCTTTCCCCAGCTCCTCTTTTACTAAATGGTCTTCCTACCATTTTGTGGATTCCGTCTGCCTTCTTAAGGCTACCTCACTCCTCTTCCTCTCATTTTACCAGCTTTTCGATCTCCCCAGCATACACGCACACACACGCGCGCACACACACACACACACACACACACACACACACACACCCCAAAGGGTTGCTATTAGCATCGGCAATGAAGAGGAAGGAATAGGAATAGAGCCTCATGCTGACTGACTGGCATGAGGATGGAAAGCCAATTACTCGCTCTTTCTGACTACAACTTCTGACGTGATGCTCTTCGCAGTAAAAGCTTTAACAGGCTGCACTTTAAATATTTTAGCAATTTGCCCAATCAGATTTTGCTCTCCCCGGCTGAAGCCCTTTAAAGATTCAGCAGCGTGTCACTTCAGAGCAGATTGACTACCAAATGCCCACATCTGGAATACATGATTTCAGTACTAAACAACACCCTTTCTCCTTGCCTTGACAACTGTATATGCACTAACCATCCCATGATGCCCCCCTTCTTCACCTCCCAACTGCTGCATTCCTTAGATGAGAGCCTCAAGCCCAGATGCATCTTAATAAACTTGTTTCACATTCTCAGGGCAACATTCACCCTCTCTTGCCTTGTTTATAGGTGGAAAAGGAAGATGCTTCCATAAAGTCTAGTGGGTTGGCAGAGACTCGCTGACAGCCTTAAGAATTGCAATAGGCCGGGCGCGGTGGCTCAAGCCTGTAATCCCAGCACTTTGGGAGGCCGAGGCGGGTGGATCACGAGGTCAAGAGATCGAGACCATCCTGGTCAATATGGTGAAACCCCGTCTCTACTAAAACTACAAAAAATTAGCTGGGCATGGTGGCGCGTGCCTGTAGTCCCAGCTACTCAGGAGGCTGAGGCAGGAGAATTGCCTTAACCCAGGAGGCGGAGGTTGCGGTGAGCCGAGATCGCGCCATTGCACTCCAGCCTGGGTAACAAGAGCGAAACTCCGAAAAAAAAAAAAAAAAAGAATTGCAATAGAATAAGGCAGGTCTAACAAGCTTACAGCACAACAAATACGCTCCTGCACCTTGGGTCAGAGTCAATGTCCACGATTTTATCTCTGATAGTGATTCAAACCTCAGGTTTGAGAAGTCATTGTTCCTTCCTGCAAAACTGGCCATATAATTAGGACACTGCCCCAGCTATACTTAACCATTCTTGCAATGGAGCTCTCTTTTCTGAGTAATATTTTTGACACAAGACAGAAAATATACATAGGGTCAAATTCCATAAATTTATTATAAAGTGATTTTACCTTTTTAAATTATATATTTTAACATCAGATGATGTCCTTTATTTAGTTTCTATTATTTCTCCCTCTGAAATGTCTCCGATACTTCCCACTTATATATCAAGAGTACAGAGTGGGATGGCAATCTCTCTTCCATGGGCCAAAAAACTAGGATTAAGCTTTTGAATATCTACCATCTCCAACATGCTCCCCACTCCCACATAAGATGAGAAAACTCTCTTGCTGCACTTATTTATGCCTGGGAATTTGCTTTTAGACTATACCAAATGACAAATACCATGTGAAGCAAACTTGTAAAGTTATCTTCAATGAACAGGCTAGATTACTATAGGAACTGTCATATCTGATCTTAAAAGAAGAACAATCTCACTCCAAGTAGCCTCTCAGTATCTGGATTGTTGAGAGGTCTCGAGGTATGTAAACCACCATCTTCCAAATACTGAACTTAGTCAAAGATGTTAAAATAAAAAGGCAGTTGCTGATAAGAACTGTTTACAGATCAGGGTGAGAACAAATTCTGAGGAATGTTTTTGTCCTTGAAGAATCTTTAACAGTTGCATAGATATCTATTAATATTTTCTGGAATAGGTTGGTAGACAAAAGACATCATGGAGAAGAGTTTTGAGGAAATGAACAAAATAAACTCTTTCCAGACCCTGAAGCACATATTTCGGTTGTGAGAGGATCTTAATAGACTTTCCCTGAAGATATAGCGTCAGGTTCAAATTCCCTTGCCCTGTTTACTGGTTGGAGAGAAAGTGTTATCTCAGGATGACTGGAGACCTGCCCCCAGTGCATTTAGGATTTAAAAGATACTTAGAACTATGTTCTCATAATCTCAGCAAGCAAGCAAATGAAACAGCAAGCTGGCAAAAAGCAAATACTTTTAGAAAATATGTGCCTTGGGGAAGGGGAGACACATTTTGGTTTGGTATATTTGATTCTTTCTGGAAAGGAGTAAGACGTTGGTAACAGTGGCCTGCAACTTTCATCCAGAAAAGTAAATAAGCAAACCTGATGATCAATTGCCCTTCAATAAACAGAAAAAAGACAGCTAATGTCAAGCTTCATTAACTGGGGCAGGGGTTTGCAGAAACCAGGCATAATTTGGCACTAGAGCTACAAGCCATGATTTGCACTGGAACATCCAGAGGCATCCAGGAGGTCTTAGAGGTATGCCATGCTACACTTTACTCCCACAAATCTCTCAGCCTGGCCTGGACTATTTAAATACAAACCATCCAGGATTTCCCCCAAACAGACTGACCAGAGGAACATCAAAAACCTCCTGGAGCAAAGACATTTCCCTTTCTGACCAGCATGGTACCTGGAATTCTAACTTTAGTTTATTGAATCAGTAAAGCAATCAATTAGATTCCCCTATTCTGAGCCTGGAATGGAGGATACAGTAATGATTAAGACAAAGTCCCTAGTCAAAGAGAGGTCCACAAGATAGCAGGAGAAAAGATATATAGATAGATGATATAGATATAGATATAGATATAGATATAGATATAGATATAGATATTACACACACACACACACGCACACACGCACACACGCACACACACACGCACACACACACACACACGCACACGCACACACATATAAACCAATAGTTCAATAGGTATAGTACCTTTTGGTAAGTATTACAGCAAAGTACAAGGTGGTATGAGAATACCAAGAAAAAAGCTGTTCATATCCTGGTATTTGGTTAGCAGTCAGGAAGGCTTTGCAAAGAAAGTAGCATCTGATCTGAGTCATGAAAAATGAAGAGGAATCTCAGCACGTAGCAGTGTTGATCCACTAATAGCCAGTAGAACCCACTCAGAGAATTGAGGCCCAAAGGAAAAGGTCCAAATAACAGCACCTGAAACCCTGGTTGAAGATGTCGGGTACCATATTGCCTAAGGTACAGAAGACTCAGACCAGGCCTTCCGCTGTCTCCAGATGTGCAATGGCAGTCAAGTAGGAGATGGTTTAAACTGATTGAGTATGATCAACTGACAGCAGTCTAAGAATGATGCATGAGATTTGGAGAGAACAAAAGTCACGTTTCCAAAAAAAGAAGAGTGTTATAAAAATTGGAAGTAATTCAAAAAGGAAATGAGTTGTTGCCCAAGATAGCAGGTTTCCTATCATTGAGACATTCCAGAAGAGCAAGGGATACAAAGAGGACTTGTGAGCCTAGAAGATCTTGAAGGTTCGAAGCACTGTGCTGTCACTGGGGAGAGACACAGCTAGAAGAATTTTGAAAGTACGAGACCATTGTTGGATATCAGAAGGCTGGAGCACCCTGAGTAGGTGAAGAAAGGTTGCTAGAGTGAAGATGAGAGGTAAGCAGCATGGGAGAGGGATTAATCCATGGCTCCGTTAAGGACCAGTACTGTTACACACTCACGGGATTTCAGAGCCTGGGAGTAAGCTGGGAACATGATTCATTGCAGCAACAATAGTCTGTAACTGTTTCTGGCCAGACAGGATAAATTTCTTTACCATGTCTCTTCCTGTACTAATTTCAAGTGCTTTAGGCTGGCTTATGCTGCAGAGAGATCTCTCTCGAACGGGCGGAGAGTAGACAGTCAGTTGTCCACAGGGACTTCTGCTTCCAAATCAAAGTTTCTAAAGCTTCTATTACTAGAAGAAAGTCCAAGCATTTGCCATTGAGTACACCAGCCAACACTGCTGTGATCCAGGGAGACCCAGAGGAATTAGGCAGTTTGTTGTATGGATAGGAGGATCATGAGAAATCTCCTTGAACAAGGGATCCCAACATCTTCAGTTTGCAAGGTGATAGAGACCCACTTCCAAAGGCTCTCCCGCAACTCCTCAAAGGCCAGTTAGTTGGAATCAAGGACCAGGATTAGATATCGTCTTTCACATTATAATAACATTACCTAAGTCTTCCACTCACAAAGTAATTTTCGACTTCCCTAAAAGACACCATAATTAATTCAAGGCTCACTTGTCACTTGCAACTTAGACAATGAACATGCCTTAAGATAGAGTAATAGAAACTCTATGGGGTGAGGTATATCTGTGGTTTCATTTTTATAGGCTGAACTGTATTATCCCTCAAATTTTTATGTAAAGTCTTAACCCCCAGTACCTCAGAATATGACTGCATTTTGATATGTGGTCTTTTAATTAATTAAGTTAGAATTAGATCATTGGTGTGAGTTCTGAACCAATAGGACTGGTGTCCTTACAAGATGGGGAAATTTCGGCCAGCTTTTCTGCAGGAGGGAAGATCATGTGAAGACAGAGGGAAAACACAGAGACCTGCAAGCCAAGAAGAGAGGCCTGGAACAGATCCTTCCCTCAAGACCCTCGGGAGGAACCAACCCTCCGAGACTTTAGTCTCAGACTTCTAGCTTCCAGAACTGTGAGAAGCTCTGTTGTTTAAGACACTGCATCTGTTATACTTGATTACAGCATTCCTAGAAAATCAACACAATAGTCCACCT